AGGGGTGCAGGGGGATTTTAAGTATAAAATAATTTAAGATAATATGTAGTTTGTTGATATTATTGTAGCTGATTACACGTTATTTTCCTTAGTTAAACTACAAATATGAAGAAATTAAAGCTGAAAGAACTGGAGAGCTGTCTTCAACAAGTTGACACTTTTGAAAGCCCAAAACTGCTCCTTGAACAGTATCCAACGAGACCTCATGTCGCAGGTAGAGGCTAGGTAGCACTGCTGTCCCTTTTCTACTGCATTCTTTTCCTTGATGCCTTTACACTAAAAGCATTTGAGAAATTGAGCAGGAAAAAAATTTAATGATTGTTAACTTCTTTTCATTAGAAGTACAGTTAATGTACAATCCAAAAAGCAGGTAAATTAAATTAAAAGATAACGTTATGATAGAAGCATCTTAATCTGTAAATGAGAAAGCTGAAATGGATTTATTTCATGACACACAAGAAACAGAAATGTATATAGACACTCATCCATACCTTAATTATTATTTTTCCCAGTATTTTATATCTTTCTATTGTTTTTCCCAAAACAAATTTAGAGGCATACTTTTTCCACAAGCAATACTAACAGCCTTGTACATATTCTCTCCATCCTAGAGTTCTCTAACTTGTCAAAATGTTTTTCACTTGTTTTCACATATAAATGAAAAAGACAATTACAAGCAGCAAGAACATCAGTTTCATTTTGCACACCAGGAAGCATTTAGTTCAGAGTTTTCTGAATGCAGAAGTAACTTTTGATTAATTAGATGCATACTTTATATTATTGACCTGTAACTTTTTTTTTTTTTTTTACCCAGCATGTATGCTTTATACAATTCACAATACTTTTGATGATATTGAAAACAAAACAATTGCAGATTTAGGATGTGGTTGTGGCATCCTCAGCATTGGAAGTGCAATGTTAGGAGCAGGGTAAGTAATACCAAGTTCTTGTGGTTTTTTTCCTGGCATAGAAGAGTAGAAAATAAGATCAGAACATAGCAATGCTGAACTGAGCCAATTTTAGGTATCTAATCTGGTGCATATGAGGCTATTTAATATGTTTAGACAGCCAATAACCATTCAAGTAGTGAAAGAGATGGGACAATTGCCATTAATTTGGCTGCCATGTTTGCTTTCCCCTGGAATACTAAATGAACACATGAAACTTCCCTCACAAACTTTAAAAGGATATTTGAGAAAAGGCAAGAGCTACTCACACTTTTATCAATGCTGAATTTATAGCATATGCTTCTGACATTTGCTAGATAAAGCAAGTTGTGCACATAGATCCCTTTCAAAACTATACTATAGAATTTAAACGCTTTTAATTTTGTAAGAGACTAATATGTGGCACTTTTTTTTTTTAATAGATTGTGTGTGGGCTTTGACATAGATGCAGATGCACTGGAAATATTTAATAGCAATATTGAAGAGTTTGAGCTCACAAACGTCAACATGGTTCAGTGTGATGTCTGCTCTTTATCTGACAGCATGTCAGAGACTTTTGACACAGTTATTATGAACCCTCCCTTTGGTACCAAGCATAATAAAGGTTGGTAATTCTGAAACGCAGTTAGAAATTATTAGGAATGAAATAACAAGGGAAGAACATTTAATGAAACACCCCCCTTCTTTATAACAATTAACTTGAGTTTTGCTGATCTGGAATCAGTTCCCTAAGTACAGATCAACAACTTCAGCATTGTAACTTACAATCGCTGGGTTTGGAATAAATGATATTCATAGCTCTATCATGTTTTTCTTTTACTAAAAGCAATTGGCTAAGTTTTAGGAATACCTTAGGTACCTTAACGTATTCAGTGCTGTTTCTCAAATAGCTATTACTCCAGAAAAAATTAAGCATGAAGCAGATTGTCTAGTTTAACATTTTAATGCAATAAATTGCATTTAACAGTTCTAATTTCAACATTCTTTTAGGAATGGATATAATTTTTCTGAAAACTGCTTTACAAATGGCAAAAACAGCTGTATATTCCCTTCACAAGACTTCAACGCGGCAGGTAAGTCTTTCTTTTTAGAGTGTATTAACCAGGCAATCAAATAAATGTCATTTAATGATGTTGTCCATAGTCTCACTGATTGTTCACACCTTCATGGGGTATGAAACTTATTTTGGATAAATACTAATCATGTCCAATAACTGTGATCTCACATACATCAAGAGAAGTATGTGATGTAATGTTTCAGCTTGAAAAACAAAAGCCCAGGAGACTTCTTAAATAAGTACAGGGGTGTAGATGTTTGTAAGACAATGTAGAAGAGAGCTTTTAAATTTACTTGTATCTATTTAATATTATAGCACATTCAAAAGAAAGCAGATGAATGGGAAGTGAAGATGGAAGTCATAGCAGGTAAGATTTTGTTAATTTGTTGGGGGTTAATATCTGTAACACTACTAGCCTGTCTTAATAGCCTGTGGTAAATAGAAGTGGGATTTAACATTGAAAACAACACAAGTCTTTTTTTAAGCAGCCTTTTTATATTTTTTTTTTCCTCCTTTAACTTGCTACCTGGCTAGGAGACAATTAGGCACTTAATAGAGCTCTGAGCAATACCTATTCTGTGCAGAATTAAATTTCTTCCTGGAGTAGATTTTGCCTTCAAGCAGAAATTACCTACCTTCCTGCTTCAAAAGGAGAGTGTTGCTGAATAAAAAAAGCAAAGTCCAGGTCAGTTCTCACACAAAAAACCATCCTGTCCTTACAGTCACCTAAGTATTTTCCTGACAGTTGTTCAAGTATCTTCCCAATTCTTAAATATTGTCAGCTAGATGCTTTATACAGTCATACAACTTGAGACATGGAATTTGCACAAGTGCTTGAAACACAACTGCATTTCAGCCATTGACTTACTGGGTGATGTGTTTGCCTTAAATGTTCAGTTATGATCTAGTCCAGAGGTCAAAACAGTTACCCAGTGAGGGGACAAGAGAGGTGGGCAATGGAAGAAATAGAGTAACATGGGTGTAGGGTATAAGTCAATTGACTAATGATCATTCTAGTGTAACAAGTATTCTTTGTACTGTTCACAGAACTTAGATATGACCTACCAGCATCATACAAGTTCCATAAGAAGAAATCAGTAAGTATAAAACCTGACATAACGGAGCAAATGCTGTCTTGTACTAGGCAACTAAATAAATTCTACCTACGAAAACTGAAGTTTTAGGGCCATATGTACTGGATGAGGAATGCTTACAGCACTTGTGAGAAGTTCACTATGCTGGCGTCAGGTTCCATTGCTATTACTACATTTTGTAGTTGAACAGGGAAAAGAATCATTGTAATGCAAGTAAAAGCTATACACAAAGATTAAAGCCAGCACTGCAACTTAATGTGAAAAAGCTAAGAGAAGTCTCTGACTCAACTTTTAATAGTTATTTGCTTAATCCTGTCTGCAACTGGAACTTAGAGTGAATTAAGTAACAAAGGCCAGAGTAACTGGGATTTTACAGCCGTAGTATTATTTCTGTGTTCTATGCTCCCTACTGCAAATAGCTACAGCCAGTGAAATCCCTGGCAGAACCATCTTAGAGGGCACAGGAGGAAGCTGTTTACTTCATCTCACAATAGAAGATCTAGTCAGGATGATAAGAATATGCAAGCTTAAGCCCACAGGCAAGTTTCTGGGTGCTGAATGCTGGCCTAGAAGACATTTATCCCATTACCATAGGGGAAGCAGAGAGAATCCTGAAGTAGACTGAGCAAGAGTTGAAGCTTGCTAGGTATATTGAGTAGCAAAGACTATTCACAGCTGTACCTGTTCTTTTGGTGACTTGAACTTAAATTATGGAAGTCTGTCCTTCAGCTTTGCTACTTCGCAGTTACAGCTTTATACTACATTTACATTCAGGCTTCAGTAGTTAGTAGTTTTAAGTTCTGAATTTATTGGTAGCTGCTATTTAATGTAACTGCAAGATTACAAAGTCCAGAACATTTTACATTTGAATGAGGTGCCAGAGAAGTTGAGAGGATCTGACAGTATCAACAAAACTATAAATATAAAAGTTTTCCGGGGTGGTATGTTAAGAGTAAGCATGCTCCTGAAACAACAACAAAAAGCTGTAACCCAACAAAATGAAGCTTTCTTCTCATTATAGGTTGACATTGAAGTGGATTTCATTAGATTTTCTGCCAAGAAACTCCCGACCTGAAGCATGTCTTTAAAACCTATTGAAAATGGAACAATAAAAACAGTGATTTTTTTATATTTATTAAGTATCACTGATCTCCATCTCCATTTTCTGTTTTCAGTTGTTTTGGTGCAGGTTCTTCTTTTTCTGCTTCCTCTAGTGGTCTCTTCTTGGGACTTGCTGGTTCTGCAAGATTGAATATGTAGTCATTTATAGTAAAGGAAAGCATTCCAGTATTACCTGAAATCTTCTGAAAAAACAAACCCTTCCTATCATGTAAGTTTGAGTCCTAGTTTATGCACAGCCACTGCTATGCTAGAGGGTTTACTTATTACTGTGACTTCAAACTTTTAGATGTTCTAAAAATACCAGCTTTGAAGAGCTTGTTCCCTGTATAACTTTACAGCAGGAGGGCAGGTAAGTAACAGGAGTAGGTTTCACTGGGTTTTGTTTAAGCAGGTGCCCAGTCTAATGAATAAAAGCTCAGCTCTTCATCTTCTCCAAGGTAGACACCAATATGCAGACCTATTAGTCTTCTCATCCTCAAAGAGGAAAAAAAAAAAAATCACAGGTCTGTACAGTTGTGTAATGTTGCTGACAACCACCATCTTTCAATGCAGAATGCTTTGAACAGCCCTGCAGTAGAGCCTCAACTATCTAGTAATTATTTTAATATGCTGTTTGGACTGTCCTGGAAGGAATCAAGCAGAAGACCCTTAAAGTTACTTTTCTGATACTGACAGACGACAGAAATACTACAATCTATTACAATCTGAAACACTTGTAAGAAGCATCGGTACTTCTCCAGAAAGTAGCTCCATGTACTAAAGAAGCTGCATCCAGTGCACAGAAATTACATACCTGTTTTAGTATCATTTTCACCACCTTCTTCATTCTCAAATTTTATTTTCTTGCCCTGAAACTGTACTTTCCCTTTTTGTGCACCTTGAGGTATCTTTCCCCCTCTTCCTTTTCCTTTAATTTTGCGTCCTGCGGGGATATAAGACATCAAGAACTTTATATCATTTGTCTTTTAACTGGCAAGCTCAAAAGAATGCTTTACAGTTACTGTTTAGTATGTATTCACTATTTACAGTTACTTTCACACAATGCCACTTCTAGGACATTATAAATGCTTAAACTAATAAAAGGAGGACCTTTTGTCTTCTGTTTCAGCAATTCTTGCTGATCTTCCAGTATTTTTTTCAGAGCTTCTTTCTCTGCATCCCCTTCTAGCAATTCCCATGTAACATCCTTGTTCCGAAGCTGTAAGTTTCCATTATGTGCTTCTTTGGCTTTTTCCAGAGCTTCTTTTGCAGTATCCTTAAATAGGATAATTCCCTTAAAAAGAAAAGTGGTAATTTGCATTTGCATCTTACTGTGAAAACATTCAGCTAGAATGATGAACAACATATCCTGTTCAGTACCTCAGCAAGTTAATTACTCTTGCATGATATAAAGTATGTCTAAACTCAAGCAAAACCTTTAAGACTGTCCTAACAAACATAGTGAGACTCAGTTCTGACCTTATCAACTGAGAAGGCTGGAACACCTTTATCTGTTCTTCTGAAATAATTTAATGGAATAATTTAATTCTCTAAGTATCCCGCAATTCCACAACTCAAATAAATAAATTTGTTTGAATATATAAGAGAACAAGCATTTAATAATTCAGTTTCAAACTTTAATACAGGTGTCTTAACTCCTTGTCCAAGATTCTACTGACCTCCTTTGCACCTCTGACAAAGTGTATCCATTTGATTTCTCCGTGATTGGAAAATACATCATGGAGATCTTCTCTGCATGTTTGATCATCTAGATCACCAGAAAACTTCAGAAGACATCCTGTCTTTTCTTCCAGAGACTTCTAAATGAATTAAAAAACCCAGATTTTTGTTGAAGAGTCAAGCTTGAGAATTCTTCCCCCCCCCAATCCTAATACTATTAAAATATGATACTGATAAATAAGCAATTGAAGTCAACCCCCCTTAGCACCATCAGTAACCCAAGCATTCCT